ATACTGGAAGCATTGTTTTCAACCCCACCAATTGGAAGTAGCATTGCAGAGAAATGTTATCCTTCTGCCAACATACCATCAATATCCTTTAGGAAAATCAGTCTTGATTGGAATTCCGTACGCAACGGATACACCCGCGCTTTAACAATCGCTTACGCTTTCATTACATTAACATTAAGCACATTCCCATATATATACTCAAGTACATACATAATTCATAACATTAATATTTAGTTAATTTAATGATGCCCAAACACGCTTAAAACTAGTACAAGTTAACTCACAACATTTATAAATAAAAATTAACAAAAACAAAAAACATAGAAACAGAAGTCAAATAATAAATAATAAAATAGAAAGAATGGGAATTTAAATTCTTACGCATAAACCATTCACAAAGTCAAAAGGATACCATAATCGACTAAATACAAAAAGGATACATACTTAGTTAATATGTGAAGTGTGTAAATTATTGCTGTTTTAGTGTAATTAAATGTTAACAACAAAAGCATAAAAAAATAGTGACTAATTTGTGAATTCAAAGAAAACTCAGTAACGATTTTAACGAATTCAACATGTCTCCCAACAACAAGGATACATTAAAATATTAAACGGACCCACCCAATTTTGCACATTTCATTATTATTTCAAACATTCGCATATATAAAAGCGTAAAATAAGTTACAACTGTCAACAGAACTCAATTCAAACGGCAATTCGTTGTTGTTGGTGTTGGTATTGGTGTTGCTGTTGGCGCCAACATAGCTAATAGTTGTTGGCAAAATATAAATATTTCGATTAAGGACACTTGTCGCGCTTCGTCTACAACAACACTGAGAATATATTTACCCACCGATGGGTCGTCGTAAAGATAAACCGCGTCTCATACCCGAACAAGACAAGCGAATATGTCGCGCAATTTGTTTTTGTCAACTGACCATGGTTTTGTCCTGTGTCTCGATTGTATATTTGTCATCTGCCATTTATTCGCCTTCACTAAAGTAAGTAATGCATTTAGCAATCCGCAACCCCTCAATAATATCACCGAACTACCCAATCCACTGTACTGTACTAAGTAATACAGTACTCGCTTTGTTGTTCAAGTGAAAATATAATGGAAACAAAATTGTGTTTACATTTTTAGAGCATTTAAGAGTGGTTTCGAACTGGATCCAGTGATGTGCCAAACTGTTGATATACAAATGCCGAATAACTGTCCATGGGCTTCATGCGGTGAATGGTGTTTAACACGTACAAGCGGTTTCTGTCCCCAAATACATTCTGTAGTACGTCGCAATGGAACCGATATACAATTAAACAATTGCACTCGTATCACCAATACATCTTGTGCGATGGTAAGTGTAGTACTATAACATATACATACGTATAACTGGGTCTCACGATTAAACCTAAAAATAGTCTGTATGTTATGTTAGGTGTGGGAATTAAAAACATTATTTGCTACTTTAAAAGTATCTCAAAAATTGTTGTTGGTAATTGAAATGACTCATTGATGACAAATCTTTTGTTTACAGTCTGAGTAAATTTTAGGTTTCGTTTTCATTAGCATAAAAATGGGAAAAGTGGATAATTGCGACAAATTAAAACGTTTCTTTGTGTAAAAAGTATTAAATTACATAGAAAAATAACCATGTATTATTGTATAATAATTCATTTTAAATTATTCTAGAATTTTAATTAATTTCTTTTAAACATCAAGTTTAAATCCATAAGTTTTCTTTTGTTACATATAAAATGTGTAATTAGTTAACGCTTAAGTAGAAACGAAGTAACACTCATTAAAGTAGCATTAGCTCATAATAGCCAGTATGACTAGTAATTGAGTGTCCCTAGCCAATTAACAATGAATTCAATTAAAAACAAACATATACTGAACTATATGCATACATACCTACATAATTAATTTTAAACTAATAGAAAAATAAAATTGCTGTTTAAAAAATATTTTTACCATCAAGTCCACAAAAAAATAAGTTTTCATTTTTTTTAATTATCTAGAAAGCAAATCATTATAATTACGTCATAGTATTACACATTTGTATGATATTTAGCCTTAACAATTAGAATTTTTCATATCACTCGTCAATGCCGACCAACTCTGACGAATTGTTATCTTTCGCAAATTAACTGCGAGGTTTCCACTTCTCTCATTTAGCCAGTTTTACTTATTAAAGTCGCCGCTAATGAGGATAATTTAGCAAGCATAGATCCTTTATATAAATGAATTCATTATGAATAAATCAACTAATTTAATATAAAAAATGCCAAATGCAACCTTTAAAAATAAATTTCCCACAAAAGAAATTACCAAAATTTAAAAAATTTGTCATATGTTTTAATGTGACAAACAAGCTATTTCACATGTATAAATCAGCTTATGTCAATGAGAACGACTAAATCTTAACTTCATTAACATAAATAGTTTTAGCTGCAGTGGATAATATTAGCCTTCTTGGATGATTCTTACGTCATGTGTTTAGCAAATTATAGGTTATAAGCGTTTGTTGGAGACGCTTATAACAGTCTTTGACATCGCTTAAATGCAATTAAAATAGTTTAATTCTGCTGTCTTTATGTATTTTTAGTAGGTGTTAAGACCGAGATTTTTACGCTAATGCTTTTACGCTAAGGCTTAAGCCTTAGATGTTGATCGAATAATTTAACTTAGCTTTTTTCGCTTGTAATAATCATAAACTGTTTATGATTTAATATATTATAATTATAAATAAACCATTATTTTACTACATTGGTGCTGTTATTATATATAAACTTAACTCGACTTGCTATAGTTAACAATCCAAAAGCATCACATAACGTCGTCCTGTAATAACATTTTTTAGCCTTTTCCATGCATTCTATTATTAGTATGTTCTGTGCATCTAAAAAACAGAAGACCGAAGACTTCAAAACAAATACGTTTATTAGATGAAGACCTTTCTATCGACTGCTGTTTTCTTTCTGAAATATATTGATATATATGAATCATCTACACTTATATATTGGTACAGAAACACTGCTCAGATGTGATTACACAGATACAGTTTTGATCCACTGCCAGTAAATATGACAAGGTATCTGATATTTAAACCTTTTTTAAATCAAATGCTATTGCAAAAAGTTATAACCGCTTTTACACACATGAGACTTTAACCACATCAGTAACCTCGCAAATCTTTATTCAAAGATCTATGTTTACTAAATTACTTTATCCAGAGCTATTATATAATTTAGATATTCTAGCCACTTAGCGAATACTCATTGGAGTCTAACCACAGAAATGGAAAAAACGTTTTAAATCATTCTATATAATGGTAGACGGTCTCCACCATTATATTTTATATATTTTTATATTTTATTTTTTGCTCTGATGTTATGCCGTATCAACAAGTGAAACTCTTTTTTTTTCGATTTATTTAAATCTACTAGAACTTGTGCAAATTGAATAATCGTCAAGACGACTGAAGCTCCTATATAAGAGAAATACTTTACATTTGAGTTGTCAGTATTCAACATGGCATAAATTCTTACTTGTAGGTTTTTTTTAATATATCAATGAATAAACCAACCTTCTAATATTCAGTTCATTTTAATTTAATTTATATCAATTACAAAGTAAACCCCTTTTTTCACTAAGAGAGAGTTCTGCAGTCAACTTAAATATCTACATTAAAGTACATAATAGCCAAAATATCCACAAACAAGCACTAAAAAGCGTGAAAACAGTGTGAAATACTCTTTTATCGATGCAACTCAATACATTGCAAACACTGACAATTTGTGGATAATTATTATACCATTGTTTTAAATAGAAGTAAAATATAGTCTTTCACTCAATTATAATATTTATAGATTTATAATAATATTATAGAGGTACGATTCATTCAGTACTTTCGTCCAGTGTTTTTCAACCAACGGTCCGTAAAATATTTAACGATATTACTTATTGAAAAAAAATGAGAACTGATCCTTACAAAGCGGATTGAATATTTATCCGATCCATACTTGGTTCTGGCTTTAGACACTTTGTTTAATGACATTATTTTTTAGCAAGACATTGTTGTCAGTGCAGTTAGTATTGAATTGAGAAATAGTACTTTAGAATTTATATATAAATTACTTAATGAAACTTAATAAAAAATGTTATAATTTAAATACTTTTGTACTATAGTAAGAAAAAAAAATAATAGTCTTGACACTCCAAATTAAATAGAGAAAAAATAGAGAAGGGCTATGTGTTACTTGTAGTATGGATAGCTGCATCTATCCAAATCTAATAAATGTTTTATACATAAATAAAACAAAATTCTTTATACTATACTATTATTTAAATAAATTCTATTTTTTTTAATATATATTAGATCGATATGAATCGTTTAAATAAATTCAATTGTAACAATGGCACCGTTTGCAATAATTTTCGAGGCGTTTATAATTGTTCCAATGGTAAATGTTAAACTTTGATATTAAATATTAATATATATATACAGTCTTAATATATTATACTTTAGGTCATTGTAAAAATATGTCAGAATTTTTCTTATGCCATCATAAGGCAGATGGACCAACAATCAATTCAGCTAGAGACAATACAAAACTTAATGGTTTCTTTGAATGTTTAGGTGTGCATTGCACCAAAATTCGCAGGCCGTTCAATTGTGACCGGTACTGCTCAAAAATAACAACTGCCAGAATTAATGTACTACTAATGCAGGTACTATTAGCATAAAATTTTAATAAATAAATTAAGATTAAAGAAGTAATTACATATTTGACAGGAAGACAGTGTTATTGCTGCCGATTGCGAAAATGGCATAGCCTTCAATGAAGCACGAGGCAATGAACTCGGTGCTAAGATAGAACCAACAGAATTTTGGAAGGAAGATGACGGTAATCTATTAACAAATTGTGCAACTGTAACACGTGAAGGAGACAATAAGATTGTGTAATTTGATATAAAAAATTATTGTATATTTTATATTCCAAATTTTTCTTTTTATATATTTATCCAAAAGGGCCACTGATTGCTTAAATGGCACTTTACTTGAGCACGATGCATTACCAGAACCATTTATGAATTTTACTCAATTTTGGAGTATTTATGCTAACAGTACAAGACCAGTAGATCCAGAACAAAGATTTTTGCCTAATCAGCTAAACGTCACTATTTACAAGGAGAAAAAATTGTTCATCAATCTGGAAGGTTGCGTAAATACATTGCGTGGTGAATGTAAGGAATTTGTTGCACGCTATGGCAATGATGGTGACAATAATACGGCACAATCACGCTACCAATGCTATTATAATAAAGTATTAAATTTTTAATCTGCATTGGAAGTAGTTAGGAAATGTTAATGTGTTGGATTTTTTTAATTATTACAGGACGCTGCAGTTGACTTTGTGGTTGCTCGTTATGACTTGGATAAGGTTTATCGAGAATTGTTGGTATCACTTATAGTACCGATTGTGTTATTTGTAATTTCATCCATTACATTGTGTATTATAACGAAATCAGTCAAGGTGAGAGTAACTCTTTTATTAATCAAGAAGTTTTTAAAGAAGTGAATATTTAAAGTACTCATAGTAATTTATGTCACTGTTGAATGGAATACGTTCGCACCATGAAAATCATAATTTCCCTTAAGTTATTTATAACATATCGTCAACTAAATGTTGGCACCTTCTTTAAAAACAGTCAGGGTGACGGCATGGAAAAACCAAATATTCACTGTCCAGCTCTCTCCAAAAACTTCTTGGAAAGTTTCTACTTGAAAATTTGACATTCCAGTGTACAAATTAACAAATGAGACTGTTAAGATTTCTATTTGGTAGTAGATGGTTTACTAGAAGCTATTCAGAAGTTTAGATAAATCCCTCAATGGTGTAAATATATTTGTAAGATAAATACAGGATGTGAAAGAAAAATTCACGTAAAAAGTCATCTTAAAAACAGTTTATTCAAATAAGTTATGTGACATATTTGTAAAAATTATTTAATTTGTTGTTGTTGTTGAAGCTATGAGGGTTTAAAATTTAATTCCTTGGAAAAGTAACAATCGTATTTGTGAAAAACTTCATTCACCTCAAAATTTTTGTAAAAGAGTTTTTTTGTTATATTTTTTATATATTAAACAATATATTTCGTACGGTCTTTGCTAAAATATTTCATAGAGCATATATATGAGTAATAATAGATGTATTTTTGCGTATTTCTCGATTCAAATATAAAAAAATCACTTAAAAATCCAATTACGCCCGGTGCCTGATAAACTAAAAATGCTTCAGTAATGTTCTTAAGTTTATAAGAAATTAATATTCAATAAAGGAGCAAAAGAAAGTTTTATAAAAGTTTTAGATATTAGATAATTATTTAAGATGTAGTTATAAAAATGCAATTGTAGAGAAATTTCTTTACTTCTTTCTAAGTTTGACAAAAATAAATAGCTATGTGCTATTAATGGATCCTTTAATTTAACAGAGAGAGTCTGATAACAGAGATTATATATTCCACTTAGAAGGGCACTAAGTATATAGATACTCAAATTCTTCGAGGGCCCCGACGAACTACCAGAAACAGAAGTCGGAAGTGTCACAAAAATCTCAAAAAATTAAATTAATTGAAGTAATGTTTGAATCATGAATATATGTAAGAAAAAAATCTCTTCACATTGAAGACTAAATCACAATTTAGTCTTCAAATTGTAAGATTAGATTAAAACATTTAACTATAAAAGTCTACGAATTATTGAGACTGACGGACTCTAAAAATAATCTTCATTATTACCTGCATGCTTCTTAAATATAAGAGCAAGCTTTACCGCAACTAAAACTGCTTATAAGAGTAGAAGTAATCGAAGCATAAGTGGTCTACGTGGTCATGTAGTCGTTATATAAAATTACAATAATAATAATAATAATAATAATAATAATATATTAATTGATATATAATATTACAATACATTATAATAAATTTTATTAAATTAAATTATATTTAAATTAATTTTTCAATTGAATAAACTTGAATACTCTAAAAGGTTGGGGATGATGCTAAAATGCGTTGTGTTTGTTCTGGTGAAGAATCCGACATGGATGATGTTTATCGCAAAAAGCGTAAACCACAAAAAAGTTATGAAACTGATGAGGACATAATGGATATGGCACAAGGACACACCAATGTAAGTTTTAAGAAATAAAGAATATAAAATTAAATTGAACTGTTTTGGTGCAATAAAATTTTTAAATGCATATTTCTATAAACAGCACAAACTGATGTGCATAAATATGTTTTTTGGTAAATGTGTGTATAAATGGCTATTTAGATACCTAACTGGCGCCAATATAGTAAGTGTAGTTTGTTGTGTTTAACGTCATAGAATAACATTTACATAGCGTGTCGTAAAGTATGACACCATTAGTAAAATAATCAATAAAAAGCTATGACGTGCTTCTATGAAGCTGTGACAAATTGTTAAGGATACGTGCGAGAAACGATGTGAATTGCTAACATATCAAATAGCAATACCAAAAAGGGAGATGAGTTATAATTGAATTATAAATATACACATAATTGGCACTAATAGGAAATTGATTGACGTTAGACTAGCATTAAACAGAAAGTTTCTATTTTTATTTTTATTTTTATTTTTATTTTTACGTTGTTAATTGACTACAAAAAAGTTTTCAACGTAAAATAATTGTACAGTTTACGATATTTTTGAAGTGCTGTTTTATAATATTAGCTAACAGCTAAACTTACTGATATTAAAACAATCATATAGAAAATAATAGACCATAAATACACATACTTTTCACACATAAAGATAATAACAAGAATTTTTGTATTTTAATAAAGTACCACGAAGATACACATCATGATTCGCACGAAATGATTGGAAGCACAAAATCTTTAATACCGCTGAGTCCTGCAGATGAATCGACGGTTATCAGTGAAAGAACAGTCGATGAAGAAAAAGCTGCTAAATGTGACACTCCAGAAAAGCCTTTAGTAATATTTTAAATATACGAACAAACTAATATTTATATATAAATTTATCATTCACTTTCATATATATAAATATAAAATATATAAGAATCTATATTAAATCATTAAAAATATACGAAATTTTAAATCATCCAGCATAAATATCAATATAATTAAATCGTATTGTAGTTATCTTTGCATTTATAACTGATAACACCACAAAACACAATGAATGCCTTATTAAAACCAAAAAAAAAAAAATATATATATGTAAATTTATTTAAAATTGTTTCAAAATAACAAATTTATTTAAATTTAAATCTAAATCGCTATTTAAACTTTATATCTTAACTTATATACTTAAATAAATTAACTAAAAGTCTTAAAAACGAAGTTTTCGACCAATTTGAGTAATCAAATATAGACGCATGTGAAGTAACGCATAAGCTTAAATTTAATTATTTATCATATAACGAATATCAAATGGATTTATTGAATGTTAATGTGTAAATTGTAAATTAAATATTTTTATGTGTAATTTTTGCAGTACCAAAATAACTTAAATAACTTAAAAACACTGAAAATGAGGAATTTACAAATAGAAAACATATGTATTTATTTGAAAAACTAATATATATATATATAGATTTACATATATTTTAACTTAATAGCAATAAAACATAAATATAATAGAAAATTTTTAAGAAATGTTTGCAGATACTTTAACAAAAATCGTGATGTGTTTTATCTGAATAATTTTTTATTTTCAGCAAGTAAATTGCTTTTTCTAATTCGCAAAACATTGGAATGTAACTGCACTGTGACATATTTAAAATAATATTTAAAAAATTTTTAATTAATTTTTAGTTGTATTTAATTTCATTAAAACAAAAAATTTTCTTAAAATAATTTTAAAAAATTAAACTGAATTATTAATATTGAGATTGATTTTTGAAACCCGTAAATACAACCGAAGTACAGTAGCATTTATTGGGAATAGTAAAAAAAAAACGGAATGATAAATTAATAAATTATTATTTATTAATAAATTATTATAATTAACAAATTATTAAACTTTAAATTTGTTAAAACTTATGTAAAAATAAAAAAAAAATTAAATTATAGTTTTTATAATCATTTTTATTAAATTAAATTAATTTTATTATTAAATAATTTTTTTTAATTTTTTAATACCGCCAAAGTTTGTGAGCTGCAAAAGCTTAATGTCGAAGTGTCATTGAAATTTAATAAATTATTTTATAATAATAATTTTGATAATTAAGCAATTAGCCCGTTTTAAAAACAAAATTATTATTAAAAAGTTTTGGTGATAGAAACAATTAATTATAAATTATTTTATTATTTTAAATCATTTGTTTAATTAAAACATATATATTAACAGTTATTTTTTTTTTAATTGTAAAAATTAATACATTATTTTTTAAAAAGAGAATTTATATTGCTAACAATATAACATGGTAATAACCAATGACCAATTTAAAAAAAAATTAAACATACAAAATTCATTCTAAGTTCTAATAAAAATTCTAAGTTTAAAATTTGATGAAAAATAAATAATTACTGACGAAAAAGTAAAAGGAGCAGCATAAACGAAAATGGCTTCTTTTAAAATTGATATATTTTAAGTCTCCAGAGTTAATAACAGGGGCATATCAGAGATTCATGTAAAGAAGGGATTAAGTACTAATTTAAAGTTTTTATAAAAGACATCGAAGAAGATCAACTTTGTCTTATATTTAGTGATCCAAAAAATAGTAGGGAAACTTTGAAACTCAATACTGTACTGTACATATTGAAACCTAATATGCCACTAGTTGGAACATTTGTCTTTAACATATTTTTATTTATTTTTTTATTTTTATTGTATTTCTTTTACATATTTTTAACATAATATGTAATCTTAGTCATTTGATATATTTATTATTTATTTTTTAAATAATGATACTAAAAAATAAAAATAATTTGATTTTAAATAACATTTAAAAAATAATTAAATTATTTTTAATTATGAATAATAATTATTTTTACCATAGCCTTTTCACAGTACATATATATAAAAAAAATTATAATTAAAAATTAAATGTCTGATGACTAGAAATCTGTTTTGAATAGAAAATTTCAAATTCAAAAATCGAATTGCCCACCAAATATTTAACAACAGTGATCTTTGGAAAAATGTATTGGCTTAATTATCCATATATACTTTTTGTACTACAAGTGTTAGAAACTGAATCCTGTAGAATTTAAATCGTGGAGTCGAGTGTTATTATTTTAAAATAATATAATATAAAAAAATAATATAAAAATACAAATATATTCTATGACTTTAGGTCAAGTGCATTTGCATACTGTAATGTAGAATACTTAAAAGACATTTAAATGCATCTTTAAACGTGCCTTTAACGTTACCTAACATTAAAAAACCCAACAATTTAAGAAATACTTTTTTTTTAAATAACAATGTTAAAGGAATATACTAAAGTGTTTATTGTTGTACTATACAAAAAATGCCATTTATTTAATAAATATAAAAAAATGCTTGACACATCACAACTAGTAGCAAAGGCAATTAAACTGAAAACTAAAAAAAAAATAAGGAATACTAATGCATTTGTAGTAATAAATCTGATCGAAAACTATAAAACTACAATCACTATATCTATACAAATTTCAGAGGTTATATATATATGAACTGTCTAAGTAAATCAACTCGATGTATATATGAATATATAAAGAAATTGCTAAGCTATTGTTTTTATTTAGCAATTTTAATAGAAAAAATATTATATAAAATATACTAAACCACCTACTTTCACCAGATTGATTTTGAATGTATAGAGAAAGAAAAATATTTATAAAAAAAAAAATTTTGTATGGTACTCTTAATTATGCAAATTTATTTTTAAAAATAAATATTACTTTTATTTGATTATTTTATTAATATTACGCACATTAAAATGTTTTATATATTTAGTATAAATGTTAATATATTTATATATAAAACTAGCTAAGTTTATTTTATTTAATTAAAAATAGAATAAAATCAATCTGGAAAAAATTCTATTAATGAAGCATTTCTTAGTTATCGTAAATATATAGATTTTCGCTGTTATAGTTTATTATCTTTAAAAACGAAAATGTTTTAGTAATTTAATGTATTTTATACATTTACTTAATGAAAATATTTATTAAATTAATTCTACAAAAAAATAAATACATTATTTTATTTTAAAAATAAGTATTATTTAATGTTAGAAAATACCATATGATTAGAAGGCGTTCTAAAAAATGTAGTGAGGAGAAACATTAGGAGTCCAAATTAAACTGCCAGTAGGACAAGTACTGAGTGCCATAATTAAACTGCAAGCAGTTCAAATTGCTTGCATTTGAACTAATGTCAAAACTGCATTCATACTCCGCCAAATAACGATTCTATAGACAGACAAGTGGAAGCACTTCTCACAGTGGAACAAATAGTCAAAATGAAACCCACAGGTTCAAAAACTTACAACCACTCTTGCGTTTCAAGGAACGCGATCAATTCTGAAGAATTGATCACTTCTTTTTAAATTAAATTAATTTAACAAAAAGGTCATATGAAACTTTATAAAAGTCAAATGATCAAGAGAACTTAAATATCACTGTTTGTGATAGCGGATCAGATGTGTTATACAATGGTCGTTTTAAGTTGTTTTTCTGAACCGTAAAATCAATGCTAATGTGAATGTCTAAAACTTTGTAAAAAAACTTTGTATTGCCACACATTGTAAATAATTGTAAATAATTCAAAACATTTGGTTCAATAAAATTCAATTTCAAATAAAATTTGTTTATAGTACCTCTAAAAGTTACTTGAATTATATACGAGAAATTGAAGTTGATGAACAACGTAAGGAACATTTGATATAAAAAAAAAACCGATTAACAATACCTATATGTAGGTACTACAAGCATCACAAGCAAATTTTGGAATTGAAAGACAAAGAGATTTAGTCTTTAGCATAAAGGCAGATCATTCTCAAGATGTCAAAAAAAAAATTACATCGTAAAATGAGCCCCTTTTTATAGTTGACTAAGTCAGATATAACAAGCCAAATAAAAATTGTACCAAAACCTCCCCGCTATTCTCAATTTAAGATAGATTAGTAAATTTTACAATGAAAAAATCATGTATGTTATAATAAAAACAATTCTAAAAATTCTGGGGCTTTTCAAGTGTTTTGATTGTCTTAGATAAAAATGCGATATTTTTCATTTCTAAGATCCAATGGTGATCAGATATTCCATTAAGGTGTTTAAAAAATTACGGACAAAATTTACAGAAATATTTCAGTTAATAATTTATTTAACTCATTAATATATGTTTCTTTCACTTACCTTGAGTTCTTCCTGTCTGCGATAAGCATCAGCCATCATTCTACGGCGAATATCTTCGGTAAGAACCGGTTCACGTCCTGGAGGACCTTCACCAATTGAGTTAAGTTTAACAACAACCTAGGTTTTGATAAGTTTAGGTAAATTATTACTAAATTTTTTTGTATTAAGTTAAAAAATAAATTCATATTAGTATATATAAATCCATATATTATTATGAACTATATATACTATATTTTTATAATAATAAATACAACATTACTATATATACATATAATACTATATATGGTATACTATACTATAGTAAGAATAATATTATTAATATTATTATGAACTACATATAGAGCATATAAGTAAAACAATTTTTTATATAAAAACTAACCTTAGTTTTATCATTAGTACCCATATAATCACTTAACTTCTTGTCGGGCAAAACTTGTCGTCCGGCAAACCACAACTGAGCCTTCGACGGCTCAATAACTTCCTTTGAAGCTTGTGTTCCGCTGAGATCTTCAGTGTTACTAAATTCCATTCGAATAATATCATTCGGTGGTAATTTCATTGGATAAACAATAGTAACAGCACCACGCAATATATTTAAAGCCTCAGATACAATTTTCAATGTAAGTGGTTTCGAAGCCAGCACTAATTTCTAAAATTTATATACAAAAAGAAAATATTTTATTTCATCTTGTTTAATGTTAAACAAATATAATTTGTTGTTTTAGAAACCTTATCAACAAGTTCTTTTGCATCTTTTACGGCATTCATTAAAACTTCTTGCATTTTTTCATTTGGCTGACGTCCATTACGACGGCCCATTGGATCTTTGTTAAATAAAAATCCACCAGAAGGAACACACTTTTCAGCCCATATATCTTCCAATTTTAGCTCAACAATTTGCTCATCAGTCAAACCCATCATTTCATTTGGTATCATCGGGCCGTGCTCACTTAACTCTTCGATTTCCATGCACACACGATATATTTTTAAACGCCCATTATAAATGGCAGTTATATCACCTATAATTGATGTGGCCTCAGTAGTAATACATGCTTCATATAGAAAAAGGTGTTCATCACCACGTTTAACTTTTAAAATAACCATATCGAATTAAAAGAATTATCACAAAAAGGCAACGAATTAAAATATATTATAATGACTCCAAATTGTCCTCTTTTGTGGAAAATATTTAGATTAATATGAAGACGTTTTACTTCTTATAGCAAATAACGTTTTGTTTAAATGACATAAACAGTAAACAAAAAATATTTTTTTTTTGATAATTGTTATGTTACTAAGGAAACATATGTCAGTTGAAGATTTTGAATGTTTCCTATGTTAATAATACCAATTACACGCATAGATTGTAATTCAGGGTTGATCTGGAAGGAATTATTTACCATAATATTGAACCCATTTGTTCCTAATTTTAGTTTTTTTATTAAAAGTTGTTAAATGACTTTCCCGATCATTTTTTATTTATTCTTTTAACTTTCGAATAAACTTTAGCAGCGACCTAATAATTTCGATATTTATACCAAAAAATAATATTTGTTACTTAGAAGGAAGAAATATATTAAAACTTACCAATTATTTCGGAGACAAAAAAAGTTGAGAGTTTGATTTATTTTCCATGAATGGATGAAAATATTGATAATTTATGCCATAAGTAAAAACATTTCTCAAGTAAACTGGTTAACAGCAAATAATATATTCTATTGAAAATTACGCTTTAAATATCATATCACCGCTGCTGAAGTCCTAAATAGTCTTATTTTCTGTTTTCAAAAAACGACGAAAAGACAAAGACTTCTCCAAACCAAGAACACTGCTACAACTAATTAAACTGGCATGTCGCTTCCTTATATCAGCTAATACTGAAGTAATTTATCTACTGCTTGGATATATTCGACAGGAGTGAAGCCAAGATATTTTAATACACATAAATTTGTACAAGCTTTTTCACTTTTATGAATGTTCTTTAAAACATTAAATTTTATTAGTTATTAAGTAACAATTCGTATTAAATTTATAATTTCGTAAGTTTTTGCAATTAATTTTTATTAATACTCGTTCAATCATTGCATTAAAGTTTTTCAAAAATATTTTCCATAATAATGTATAATCTCAAAAGAAAAAACTATTGCACATAAAAAATATATAAAGTGAGCATTATGAATAAATAAATATATAAATAAGTAAAAAATATACATACACAGACGCATATATATACACATACATTAATCTAATTTTAGCTAAC